CGCCGCCTCGGGGGTGAAAATGTGACCCGCTTTACCGCGATGCGCTGGGGCTGCAGTCCACCGGTCCGAAGGCGTAGCTCTCTGCGCGCAAAGCGCCGGGATGCGAACGCGGGATTCGGAGCGCGTCGGTGCCGAGAGCTGCCAGAGGCTTGAATTCTGCGTGCAGCTGCCGGACTCGGCCTCATGTTTTTGCTCTCAGAAAGAGTTGGTGATAAAGTTTGGGCAGAAATCCCGTCGGCCGTCCGCTCCTTGCTTCCCTCAGGGCCGACACTGCCAGCCTCTCCGGGCACTGAGGACACCCCCGCGCCCTGGAGCAGTGGGAGGATGCGGAGCGCCGTTCTCTGGCTTCCGACACCCTGCCAGCCCTCTCTAGCGGGTCTGTGCCTGCTCCTTCTCGAAGGAAGTAATAAATCTTTCTGACCTTGGGGGTCAGAGGAGACGCTTCAGTTTTCCGGAGGAGTATGCGGGCGGGGCCGTCTTTCCGCTTTACTGGACCTCTGGCCGGGGCTGCTCTTGTTTCATTGTGCCCCACGCTGATGCTCTCCGCATTTCCGCTCGCGGTGCTGCGTCCACTGTGATTGACGTCCTCTGGAATTGGGGTGATGGGGGAGGGGAACGCCCCATTCCAATTTGCAGTAAAATACTTGTCCCGCTTCTTGGTTTTGTAGATGAGATCAAAGAACTTGACCCCAAAGGAAACACCGTTGTTGAAAGAAAATCATTTTTCAGTTGCTTTGGGTTTAAGTACTTTTGTTTAAGGTTATGAGGAAAAGCTTCTCTCTCTCCACGCAACTCCCTCCCTCCCCAAGAACAGTAAGCCGTAGCCTCAACTTCATCTGTAGAATGGGGACAGTTTTAACAGCCTCTGGAGATTGAACGGTGGCTGAGTATCAGAACGCGCACACGGAAGATTAGACCTGAGTTCAGGCCTCCAAGTGCCGAAAAGGGAATCGCTGCGGGGCCTCAGGCTCAGCACCCTCGGATAAACAGAACGCTCGCTGATCTGGAGGAGTTTTGTTGCCTTCTGTCCCAACAGAGTTTTTAGAAGTTTATCAAAGTTACTGCACAATTATCTTTGTAGCATTTTGGGCAGACTTTTCAGAGGACCGTTCCAACATTAAAATATTGCTGTTTGCGCCATTATTCTTCTGTGGGTCTTACAGAATTCCCTGAGTACAAAGACGAAAAGTCACTTAACTCGCTTTCCATGGGTTTTTAACGCTCTTTTTATGGATTTAGTTTCAGGGGAGAAAAATGTTCAAAGAACTTGATTTATCCTTGTTTTCCAGAAAAACCCGTAATGCCATGAGTACAGTTCAGCTAATTTTTTCTTCTGGGGAGGGGGGTTGGGACAGGGACAGTAGAGCTCAAATTTTATATCCAGCTTTCTCAGATAATGTAACATTGCCTCTGGGAGTGGGTCGAGACAGGCAAGAATCCCTGTTAACAGATGAAGGTGGCAGAGTTCAATTGAACGACTCCCCATCTTTTCCTTTTCTGGATCCCCCAGCCTCCTCTTCGCCTGCTCTCTCAAATGCCCATGCCCCTTATTCACTCACCACTTTTCCCACGAAAACTAAAGTTACATTGGTGCATGAAAAGACTGATGGGAGAGAGAGGGATTTGGGGAGGAAAGTAATTCTCAATTTTAATATTCAACATGCTTCCAAGAAAAATAATTTCTAATATTTTTCATTTAGTTTCTGGCTTTGTACTTACCCAGAAAAAAACTGAATTGCATTAGTCGATGTAGGGACCCTTTTTAAAAACAATTGTTTGCATAGAAATTCTGTTGCAATTTTGTAACACTTTACTGGTGTTGGCAAAATAGTAAATCCATTTGCCAAGTGCCCCCACAGTGAGTGCTCAGCTGGCATAAATTTACAGGTTCTGGCATCTCCACCCTCTCCTTGCTTGCAAATATTTTCCCATTTTGTATGGTGTCATGATTCATTCTGAACTTTGTTATAGCTAATGATATCTGAAAACTTCATAATGCTTTCCTTCCGGCATTTGTTTGGAAAATCCTTTCATTTTAATCTACTTATTTTAGCATAGTAATGATCCAGACATATAATACGTCACATAATAATGTCACTTGCTCAAGAGCCAGTCATGCCACAGGGCTAGCCTTGATTTCGGCTCACTGGTTTCGTTTGTCACAATTCCATCTCCCCCAGGAGCTCCTTCAGTCTCTGTCTTCTCTGCTGTAGGCCCAGTACCCGAGAAAATTACAGAGATCTTCAAGGATCTTCTTCCAAATGTTTGCCCCTGGGCACCAAGATAGATTCACTCCCTCATAGTTTGAACAAATACGCATTTTCAATAGAACTTGAGATTATAGATTCAGGTTACTTATAATCCTTGATTTAAGATATGCTGCCATCGTTAGTCCAAGAGTGGCCCTTTTAAATGTCCTATGTTTTAATATAATGAATATGCATGAACCCATTACACAGCCCAAAAACCTCCAAGAGTAACTTAGTTTGGAAACTTAGATGAAATAATAAAGTTCTAAGAGGAAGAAAAAAAAACTTCCTTTAACAATCTCAAAAAGAAAGAAACTACTTATGGCCAGGCACGGTGGCTCACGGCTGTAATCCCAGCACTTTTGGGAGGCAGAGGTGGGCAGATCACCTGAGGTCAGGAGTTTGAGACCAGCCT